CAAGTTAGAATCATACTCATAAGGAGTCAAACTGGCACGGATTTCCAATCAATGATTTTACTACATCAGTTGCGGGAGATGAAATAAGATACACTGAATTTTCTGTTGTGCAGTTGCGTTCAAAATACGATTGAACTGGTTCCGACTTCGAATCTCTTCGGAGATTCTTGAGGTGTGCACTGCTGATAATTCCCAATGGGAATGGGACAGCTGGGCAGAACTTGCCGGCTTTCCGTTATAGGACACGTTCACAAATGTTCACTGATAATTTCCGCGCTGTTCCATGCAATTTGCAATGTCGATATGTCACATACTTGTCTGTTGCAATCAACGTCTGTACACGCCAGTTGCGGACAAATACTGTAGGTGATATTTTTTTCTCCGCCGCCCATATTCAACCAGAGGACTTACACAACAGGCGGTCAGAAAACAGGGCAGAGCATGACTGTTCCATTGCTGATCGAACGGACGACCAGACGAGACAAACACATCAGGAAGGATCACTCAATGGTTTGCCATGCCGCCAATCATCGCCCTAATTCTCCGTGGATAAGGGACAACGAAAAGCTCAGCAGAACTACTGATGTCTGCTGTAATCTGTCTGAAAAATCACTGAGTAGTGAGAGCGATCCTCTACAACAACTGAAGCTAATTCAATTCGGTGGAGTTAATATGTCACTCAGAACATCAAAACATCCAGTGCGAGAATCCGAGGCAAGAGGACATCCAATGTCCTGAATGCGGAAAGTACTTATCAATTTGGTCGAATCTCCTTTTACTCCGGCGATCAGTACACAGTGAGAGAACGCGTCGGCAATGCGATACGTGTGGAGCGTCGTATTGCCGGAAGTGGAATCTTGATCGGCATCTGAAAAAGACACACGGACAGTATGTTTATGAGCAATACGGGACACTGAGCCCCCATTTAGATGTTCTAAGGGAACATCTGAAAAGAGACACATCAGAGACTCAAGCGTCACCGAAGTGAAAACCAACTACAGTGCCAGGAATGTGGGGTGCTATTCTCCCAAAAATCGAACTTGGATCGTCATATGAAAACGAAGCACGAAACGCTAGCTCCATATATTTGCGAGCAATGTGGGAAAACGTACTCTCGACAGGATGTGATTGAGATTCACGTGAAAACTATCCACAATAAAGATGTGAATGTCACGATTGACTAGCTGCACTGAATTGATCAATTGTGACCTACAAAAGAATAAATACACACTGAACATGAGAATCAGTGGAATAGTTTCTTTTTTCTTTTGGTTGCAAAGGAAAGCCTAAATCAAATCATGTTTCCGTTCTTGCCTGAGATTTCCGGGCAATCCTAATGGCAAGCACCTGAGATCATGAAATACATTTACCTACTCACAGTCGATACTCGCGTCCACATTTGCGGCAACCTACAAACCGAACTTGATGACCGTTGTATAACCGCGCTCTCATAGCACGTATGTATTCACAATCGCAACTTTTGAAACAAATTTCAAGAAAAACCTGTTTCTGATTCGGTACATTTTTTAGTCCTTCAATCAATCAACCGAACGACCGATATAGCCGCGTACCTTCATTGGCAATTTGTGTTGTGAGGCTTTACAGCGGTGCTCCGGAAACGGCGGGCGCAAAGTGATCTACTGCGTAAGGATGGTAGCAGGATGAGCGGTGCTTCCGGAAACAGCGGCGCAATGTGATCTACTGCGCAAGGATGGTAGCATCAAGTCTTGTCTATTTATCCAACTCGCTGCTTCATAGCAAGACGTCATCACTGGATACGTTCGCCCATAAATCATTTTTTCATACAATTTCGTGTCGTTCAGAATGCTAGGACGATTCCCCTCGTTCCATTTGGGAGAATAATTCCAACCCTATCTTGAACACTGCACTGAAGTTAATCCAAGAAACCTTATCTAGACGTTACCACTCGGAAAGAGCTGGAATCGCAGACTGTGCTTAGTATCTATTAGGAGAACTAGCTCCGAACCTAACGGAAATTATTAACTTTATCGACGTATTTCGGATGTGCGGTCGGTTTGCTGCTGCTCATATTTCACTATTCGTTGGTACAGCACGCCGGACATTGTGCAGCTGATCATGATGGTCTGCTGATGACTCTCACATGAAACATGTAAGGTCTACGGTTGCTCAAGCTGTTGTATTGTCAAAACATCCCACGCATTTTAGATTTATTTAAACCGCACTCATTTAACGCCTGAACCAGCACTCCTAGATCCTTCTGACAGGACGAGACATAATTGCGGATCTTTACCGACGCGACGAGTACGCTGAGGTTGGATCCACAGAGTATGCGGTGTTTCCGCGTATTAGAGGAAAAATTGTCGAATATGTTACTTTTGAAATGGCGAAACTCACATGTGACTAAACTATAAAAATAAACCTGAGAGTTTGTCAGATAAATTCGTTACCCGTTCCGTCAGGTTAGTATTCCTGTGCAGTAAATAGCCTTTTCTTCAGATCATTTGGAAATGACGTTTAGCTTCAATATTAAAGTCACAGAACGTTTGCTAAAATAGCTAAATAGTTCACCCAAGTAATGCATGTATCATTGCATTCCGTAGCACCGCTCGCCGATTGTGTAGAGCCCTCTGTGTTGATTGGTCTCAGGCTAGTTTACAGCTCAAACATTCTCAAATGTATTTTGTCAGGGAGGTTACGACAGGCCACTGCTAGCGTTTGGTGCTGCAAATGAGAGGAATATGTATCGACGAGCGTAGCACCAATGCACAAGTTTTCAGTCCCTGAAACGAGCCACAAATGTTCAGGTGGATTATAGTGTACCATTTCCTGACTGATGAATCAGGAGTAGACTGGTTGTTCACTTGCTGGTGATCGGCAGTTTAAAGTTCACTGTGCCCAATTGTGTGTTTGCTGGTTCCCGAGTACCAAGCTGTCAGGTTTGATATTCGGGTACCTTGAGAATTAGAGTTTCCTTCGGACTACTAAACAAATGTGAGTAGTGTGACGTGTTTTGGATAGTTAAAATCAACAACTAAGAAATCAAATTTTCACCACTAAGTTGGAGAATTTATACATATTTGGGGCTGAACGCACATGTGAATGAATGGTGATGAGTTGAGATACATATCTCGCTTGTAAGAATTATAAAACCAAGATTCTGTCATTTTCCTATCATTGCGCTCACGCGCAGTTGATTGTTGTCGCGTACAAGCGGTCGGAAGTGATACGAAGAGCACAACTGATTTATGAAGGGCAAGTGGAGAGCAAGCAATAAAATCTCCCTCAACCAAAACCGTCATTTCATTGGCTGTTAGGTAGTCCCGTTAGTTCAGATCTGGTTCTCCGAGTAGAAACGAGACGGTGTTCAGAGTGTCAGGTGTACTCAAAAGTGCCAAGGGAATGCTCACCATGAAAACAGGGATTGTCGAATGGTAATGATAAACGCCTGGTTTGTATTGCGTCCAAATAAATCACCAACAGCAAGAAATTAAATTAATTTTAAACGCCAAATCATAAAACAAAATTAGGCGTCCGCGAACATACAGTTATAACTTTGCTCGTTGGATTGTGGAGCTATTTTTTAAATAGCAATAAAAATGCAGTTGCAAAATACAAATCAAATGTGATTTCCCGAGTTACCCTTTTAAAAATTACCTACCGTAAGCGACACAGGGGGCAAGCACAAAGCATTTGTGTTGATGGGTCCGAGTGTATGAAGCCGGATATTCCACTCAAACAGTCACTGAATAATGAAACGATCTTTCAAATGCAAGTCCATTGTGCATAGCCTGATGTAGCTGGTAACATTGGATGGCATGAGATAAACAAAACAGGACTCACAATTATTTGAGTAAAATGCAGCCCGGGAATTTCTTGAGATGGGATATTTTTGCGTTTGTGTCCTGTACCAATGTTCGCACGGAATCTAAGAGAACCACGACAGAAATCCCCCATTGTCTGACTTGCCCATTGAGATCACTGCATATTTTGTCCTGTGTTTTGTGTGCTCCCCTCCTGACACGGCTACTAAGATGGAGCGAACTAATGAAGCTCTGGAATTAAATTACCTCTGATTGAGGCCAATTGCGCATTGTCCGGAAGAATAATTTAAAACAGTCTCTGTTCAGATCTTGCACATTCCCTCCATGATATGAAACCACTAGGGTAACAGCGAGGACCGCCTGATGAACTTTCCGATATTTGACACTACCTAAAGCTCGATGAGGAGTAGAAATATCCGGTTCGCCTCAAGTGATTTCTGGTATCACTGGATATGTCGACGCAATCGCGCACATGTAGATAATAGCAAGGGAGCGATTTCTCAGGTGAGACTATTCGGCTATGAATCATTTGCATACACGTTTTACTCATAATGAATTTGGATTTAATGGGGGCATGTGGCAGATTTTAAAAACAAGTAGACACTTCATGCTCTATGGAAAATCTGCGCTGACCAAACCGCAGGAAAATGGAAGTCAGATGTGTAATCAATTTTCTTCTACGCTGCAGCAATGTGTGGTGACTTCGAGTGGGCTCCGCCGCCAAACATACCGGCCAATTGGATTCAGCACTGGGACCTCGAGAATTTGGAACATATCCAATTCAGTACGGTAAGCGAAACAGAACCAGTCTAGCTATACACGACAACCGAGAGTAATCCTCGCTATCTACTTTTTCTGCAAGTGAGTGACTCGGAGGAAAGATAAATTTTGAAGCCAGTCAACGTATGGCGTGGTTTGATTTACGTATGGACGAATGAGCCTTGGCAAAAAGTGAGGGATATTCACACTGCTGCTCCCAGACTCAAACTTTTTCGACCATTCGGAACACTCGGATGGCTGATTAATTTAGGTATGGTGCTTCGCGGATTTGCAACACAAGTTGGCTTCGCTTGGAGGCAGAAATATCGATAAAGAAATGTTTTACCCCGAAGCGGTGCAAATTTCATCGGTAGCGGCATGCTCGAGTACTTTGGAACGCCTATTGCCGAATGTAAAATTGGATCAGCAAAATCATTGCTCGTATATTTTATGAAATAAGAAACTTTTTAGTTCTTTTTATTAGCGCTCATTTGCCTATCAGCCGCTGTTTGGCTTCAGTGTACTGCTAAAAATTCCTGCCGCCGTGGGTAAGACAGAGTAACTTAGAGTGTGAAGAATGGTCCCGAGAGGTTTGCAGTAACCACAAAAACGACATACCAGACAATTGACCACATACTCTAGAAACCTGTTGCTACCAACTCATATTCTGCGTCACAAAGACCCGTCACAAATGCACACATACTCCACTTGCCACTTTAATTAAGCCATCTTTCATTGCCTTCGCGACCCATCGCAGGCCACCGCGTCTACCCAGATGACAACTTCCAACCCAATAACTCCCGAATTTCTTCCTTTACTTTCGCTCTCATAAGCTTTGCTCATTCAATGCAGGCGACACGGCTTTTCGCTTAGGGCCCCAACCGAGTTGGCGGATTGACGAATTAGGGTCAACAAATGTAGGGAACAGAGTAGTAATTGTCAAACGGGAGTCATTCTGGAATAAGAAATGAATTTAGTGAATGAACAGTTTACGGGGGCAAGCGTGGGCGATTATTTTTCGTGACTATAGACCCAGCTACATTTGAAAGTTGAAAATTAGGTGAAGAAGGAATTCATCGATGGGTCCAGTACGGAAGAGTATTAATCTTCCGTAAGATAACCACCATCGGTAAGCAAACCCAAATTTTTCCGTATCAACGAGCCTGAATAACACGTACACTTGTGGAGGGAGCAATCACCGATAGGGACACTGGTTTTAGCATTCAATTATCAGAAGCTGAAGCGAGAACGACTTGGGGGTACGTAGTATTCATGAAAACAGCGACGCAACGAGATACAAGTGAACCCATCATTGGTGCTTGCAACGGTAAATCGCATACATCGTATGCGAAAAAAGGAGGAATTGAATACATATTCATTCGTTCGATAAGCGGGAAACAATCATAAGGTCTGTCGGTAATGAGTGAAATCAGCGAACTGGACCAAATTATTTAAGGATGACCGTGGGCTATATGAGAACATAGGCCAGTCTGGTTCGTTGAATCGGAAAGAGGACGAGTTGAAACGTCAAACATCTGCAACTACGGATACAAGCAAACACCCTCGAAGTTTAGCACGACATGCGATGCTTGTGTTTTGAGACGGACGCACATTGTTCACTGGGCTTCCTGTAGACCCGTCTGCAATCGGATGTGAACATATGCGCTAACTGGAATGGCTCTCGAAGTGGAGAGCTGTGGTGTGGTCCCCGGGGGCCTGTAACGTTTGAACGGTACCTTCGACTAACGAGCAATACCAGAACCTCCGGGTAGGCAAAACAAAGTCGCAGCATGGTTTCCGTACGGTACTATTAGTGTAAGAGAAATACACAAATTATACAGACCTCGACAGTAGGTACGCATCCAAAACAAACAGTCTACTTGGACTACAAAAGTTCACAGCAAGGAAGAAAACAGGCTTCCACGTGCGACATTCACACGCGAAAGTTTGATACAAATGGCCATATGACCTCAAGGCGTGAAAGGTGAAGTTAATGATAAACAAACGTCAGATAAAATATTACCACTGACCATAAATGTGGGGCGGGGGTTGCATATGGGAACAAAATGGTGAAGTAGAAAGTACAAACAAACGTCAGTTCATATATTAACACTGACCACAAAGATGGGGCGTGGGTTACAAATGGGGACAAAATAAACGTGAGGAATTCCAGTGTCAACATAATAGATGATACAGGCCCGTTGGCATTTCGGAATTGTGTGGACGCAAGAGGACTTCAGCACATACCTGTATTCCAGTGACTAGTAGATAAACGAGACCACAACGCATGATAGAAAGCATACTGTGACGGGAGGCGCTGCTGGGAGCGTGGTCTTACTTGATGCGGTGGCACTCACCTATCTGGGTTAATTCAGTAACGTACACGCGTCGGTAGCCGGTAATTTGCGGAGCGAAGTTGGAATCGAAAATCGGTTGTCCGTGAATGATACAAGCAGGCCATTCCAGTAGATGACGGTTAGTCTATCGATGGAGTCAAATCACGGACCCTATTGTCGATTGGGCCATCGATTACAATCGCGAATTCAGATGAGCACCTTCTGAACAGCTCTGACATCTCAGACTACACTGAGGACAACTCGAAACCAGAATCCACCAGCGCATCTCAAATGGTCCACTGACATCAATGAATGGGTGACAGTAAGTACCTGGCGTGAGAACCACTGCGTGGAGCAAGAATCTAATTTATGCGGGGACTGGCACGAATACTCGACTTTGATCAACAGAATAACTATACTCGAACGCAGGAAAGAGTTTAAAATACACTGGCAGTTCGGCAGGCTTGATTTGTCGTGAGGAAAATGGCAGTTTAGAATTTGGAATGATTTGCGAACGTGGTGCCGGATGGACGAAAGCGACTAGTTCCCCATCAAAGTCATTAATATTATTATTATTAAATGGATCAAGGATATATTGGCTATACCTTGCGGTTCTCTTATTCGTCTTGTCTGAATAAATAATAGAAATGCGCAGGACATCCTGGGATATTTAGCCAGTGCACTATCGGGCTGCTGAAAGCCTATTGATCTTCACAAATGTTGGTGAGGAAAGAGGGAATCCCGGGACAACCACCTGAATTTGTTCGATAACTATCCAAGGTCGTAATACGTACTTAGGATTCCTTGAACCCCGGCTGAATAGTAAGGGGCAGTCCAACTCCTGCGTTTCGACACCCCATCAGGTAGCACAGTATGCGGCTTCGCGAGTGCTTGAAGATGCAAGAGCATCAACCTCCACGATAGCCGAATACCTCTTCGCTGGATCCGGGAATCATTAGTGGCTGGAGATCAGAAATTGATCAAGTGAATGCTGATCATCCTGTCAAGTAATTTCACATGGGCTTCGAGCGACGGAAAGCTAAGTCGGTGCGTTGATTTCCGAAGCATGAATTAGGTAACCCGACTGGAGGTAATCGCACTACTACATACAACAATGTACTCGGGTCCTTCGCTGCAGCTGAATATTTTACCGGGTTGGACCTGAAATCCAGCTAGCTGCAGAAATAACTGAAGGCCTGCATCGTGCCGGTCCGGCTGAGAAACCTGTCAGGGACGCACCGGCGGTGTACAGAGAGTGTTAAAAAGGCCTGCTGCTCACTAGTTTAGATGACATCATCCACGCATACAAGAACAGTGCGGGATGATGTCATCTAAACTAGTGAGCAGCAGGCCTTTTTAACACTCTCTGTACACCGCCGGTGCGTCCCTGACAGGTTTCTCAGCCGGACCGGCACGATGCAGGCCTTCAGTTATTTCTGCAGCTAGCTGGATTTCAGGTCCAACCCGGTAAAATATTCAGCTGCAGCGAAGGACCCGAGTACATTGTTGTATGTAGTAGTGCGATTACCTCCAGTCGGGTTACCTAATTCATGCTTCGGAAATCAACGCACCGACTTAGCTTTCCGTCGCTCGAAGCCCATGTGAAATTACTTGACAGGATGATCAGCATTCACTTGATCAATTTCTGATCTCCAGCCACTAATGATTCCCGGATCCAGCGAAGAGGTATTCGGCTATCGTGGAGGTTGATGCTCTTGCATCTTCAAGCACTCGCGAAGCCGCATACTGTGCTACCTGATGGGGTGTCGAAACGCAGGAGTTGGACTGCCCCTTACTATTCAGCCGGGGTTCAAGGAATCCTAAGAACGTATTACGACCTTGGATAGTTATCGAACAAATTCAGGTGGTTGTCCCGGGATTCCCTCTTTCCTCAC